GTTACCCAAGGATGCTCTAGCTTTGCCTTGCTTGCAGGTTTTGAAAATTCTGCTTAATAAAGCTGCAGCTGATCTGATCTAATGCCAATGATTCATGGAAGAATTTAGTTTGGAGGGGACCTCCAGGGTTCATCTAATCCAAGATCTTGCTCAAAACTGGTCCAACAATACCAGGCTGCTGAGAGTTTTCTTAAGTTTTGAATGTGTCCAAGGATGGAGAACTCAACCTCTCAGCAATGCATGGCAGTATTTCACCATCCTGACAGAGATATAAACAGAATAAATATATATATAAACAGAATATATATATATATATAAACAGAATTTCCCATGTTCAACATGTCTGCCAATTCATCCTGCCACTGTGCATTTCTGACAGGTCTGACTGTAGCTGCTCTGTACCTTCCCTTTGTGCCTTAGGGGGCTGTTGACAGCAATAAAATGTCGCCTTGGTGCTGTTTTCTTAAGGCTGAATAAACCCAGTTCTCTAAGCTGTTCTCCTCATGTCTTGCAGCAGCCTCCCTTCACTGTCTTGGTAGCCTTGCACTGAACATGCTGCAGGATGTTAGTGTCTGTCCTATACTGGGGAGCCCCAAATGGGGTACAGTTCTCTAAATACTGTCTCATAAGCACAGAATAGAGGGTAAGAATCTCCTCCCTCTACCTGATACAGGTTTGATATTATGGCCTGGAATATGGTTGGCCTTGGTTGCCATGAGGGCACATTGGTGACTTGTGCACAAGTTGCATTGGATTGAGATAGTCCCAACTTTTTGGGGAGAAGTAGCTTGAATAAGCTCTTCCTAAAACTAGCTGTAGGGAAGTGTTGTCTAAGACTAAATTTCAGAGGCATCTTACTGCTACACCTTGAGGTGACACTGTCAGGCCTTCAGGGATGAATACTGTACCCCAAGCTTTTAGGGTAGCATGAGTATTGTTCTATGTTTCTGTTGTGTTTGGGTTTTTTAGCAAGTGCCTACTTTGTAATTCCTTGCAATTGTGAATGCTAGAGCACCTGAAAGCTGTAGAAGAAATTACTTTCTTCTAGAACAAGCCTGTCCAATACTGCATTTTTTGTATCTGATGTGGAAAGTTGTCTCATTCAATGTGACTAAGATGAAGTTCATTGAGGCTTTTATAGATCAACTGATCTATATGCTATAAGTTTTACTGCTCTGTAAAGAAACAGCATCTCTGCTGCTTGATGGTAACACGTCCATGTATGCAATAACTTTTTCTTATTTTGTTAAGCTGTTCCTGTATCACAAAGTTAACAGCAGGAAAAGGTGTATTATGTGATGTAGTTCATCTTCTGCCAGAGAGCAATGTTCACTGCTGTGCTGTTGTTCTGAGCTTTGTCCAGGTTAGTTTTGAATGAATAGCAGACCATGTTTAGGAGATCAGGATACTTTAAAGCTACTTGAGTCTTTATCCTCTGCTGATCTTTGCTAGGAATTAGATGCCTGTGCTTTTATAGGAATCTGGCATGAAGAAAATAACTCTTGTACATTAATCTTGTATTCTGATACATTGCAGTTTATTTAACCTAGCCCATCTACTCAAAAAGAAATGCAAAAGTGGAAAAAAGCCAAAGCTATCATGATTTTAATTATTTGAACCAGGAGACCTTCCAGTGTACCAGTCATTGACTCAAAAAACTTTAGCTGTGCTATGACCACGTGAGACACCTTTGTAAGGAAATAAGGGGTATCACCTTACTCCACAAATGAACTGTTTGTAGCACAAAAGGGAAAATCTTCAAGAAGTTACACTTTGACTGCCTGTGAGGTGAGACAGGCATGGGCATAACCTTAATTGCAGTCTTTTGCCAGCACAAGATCTAGCACAGCTGGGTTGTATGGCTGCGGTTGCAGCTCATGGGACAGTTTCCCTTTCATTAGGTCTTGTAAAATTATCATAGAGACCCTCCTTCAGTCTTCTCTGTGCATTTGCTTTTGGGAATTGGAGTATGACAGGATTCCCATTTTGCAGGGACAATCTGTCAGATCAAAAGGGTGCAGCTGGGAAGATAAAGGTCAAAGGAAATGATCAAATATGTAAATTTAGTGAGGGCAATTTGAGTGCTAGCTGATTGTGAGGGTGAGAAGGTCACCGGTGTTGCTTGACTCTTGCCTTAGTTGGGGTCGTATCAGTTTGATTCAAAAGCATTTGCAGGACAAGGAATTAAACTGCGTGGAGCAGGAACAGAAATAGAAAGAATATTTTAAAAGTAGAGAGAGCAGCAAAGGTCAGCTTGACTCTGCACCTAAATTTGGCAGCTGGGTGCAGAGCTCGGTCTGTCAGACATCTGAAGAACTCATTTGTTTGCGGAGTTACCTGAGCTTTTGACTGACAGTGTTACCTGATGCGTTCCTTTGCTGTTCTGCGTTCACTTTCAGTGCACAGTGTGCTATTTTTACACTTCTCAACACGGATGCGATGCTCTGTGGTTTTGTAATAAGAGGCTAATGGAAGCTTTAAATTAAAAAAAAATCTGCTTAACAGGACAAAAAAGGCATTATATGGTATTTGTAACTTGTGTTCATTTGGCAATTCACTATGAGAATTTCCAAAGGCTGAAATGTATCTGGTGGATCGTAGATAGTCAAGATTTTTTATCAATGTTCATACGTTGCTTTTAAAGGTCAAGAAATGTCATAAAAAAAGACTGAAAGCACTTTATGTAAATCATCCCTGGAACATATCCAAGTGGCTTTTATCTCCTGGCTTCGATTGTTTTGGTTTGGTTTGGTTTTTTTAAGAGCTCTAGACAACAAAGCCACTTTTTCTCCACTGAAGAACAACAGGAATGTGGTGGGAGTAAGAAACCAGGGGAAAGCAAAAGGACTTGGTGACACACATCAGTTTAATTGTAGGTGGAATACATATGCCCTCACGTTAAAGGGATTCTGTTTGTCTTTGGCTGGAGACTCCAAGATGACACCAACCAGTTGACTAGCTTGAGGATGTTATCAGGGATGACCAAGCCATGTGTTGGTGCCTCTGAGATTCATGGGGTAATTGAAGACAAAAGGCCTGGTGGTGTTTGAACCATTCACACTTGGGATAGAATCTGTGAGGCTGACACAATCATATGTGAGTTAGAGAGGAGGGAAAAACAGAGCGCAACACCAGATTATTTTATCAAGCGAAGTTAGTGGATTCCCCTGCTGCTTCTCCCTGACCTAAAGTTAATAGAAAATACTGCTTTTGTTTGTGCTTTTTCTTATGAACTGGTATTTGTTTGTTTATTTTTAATATCAGAGCTTCCTAAGTAGTAAAATTTGACAAATGACAAGGAAACTTCCATGTGAGGAAATTCATTGTGTGGAGTGCCTCCATCAGTGACCTGATGCTATCAGGATGGCCAGCCCCTGTCTGCACCAGTTAACATGCTGGCCCATGGTCATAGATCTGATCACATTCCCCCAGCCTGGACAAGGGCCAGACTGCTCTCTCAGGTCCTAATCCACTCGGCATCTAAGCTCTCTGCTTCTCTGGCTCTGTGGGCTGCAGTGTGCCTGTCCCTACCCTCTACCACAGCCTCTTTTCCTGGGTGCTAGGGTTGCCTTTTCCTCCTTTTTCTCATGAAATCTGAGTGATTGAAACTCGCACTTTTCCTGGACTCCAGCTGTGGAGGTGACAATTTAGGGCATGTCCTAATCATGAGTAAACAGAAGCAGATGTTCCTTAAGGTTTTCAGTATCTTGGCTAGTACCAGAAGTACGTGTACAGGTTTAGGCAAAATGAATAAATCCCATGTGTGGTTTTTTGTTGGAATGATTCCTTACCTGGATGGCCCTTCTGGTATTTAACTGTGTTCATGCATTTATTTGTTTTCTTGATTCTCCCAGTCATATTGCGGGTCTTAGGCTGCCTGTTCCCGGGGTGTCTGGTCAACAGCCAGCCAGCATAGGCAACACCTAGTTGGTCAGTTCTACCATGATACCAGTGTCCTTTCAGGAGCACTCTGAATGAAAATAATTTAGGAAAACCTCATTATCTTTCTCTGAAACTAAATTGAGAATAAATTCTACAGTTTTTCAACTTCTCTTTTCACAGCAGAAAGTCTGAATCAAAAGGGCTGTGTAGGTATTTGGGGTGTGGTAGGCAAATTACCTCTGAGTCTTGATTTTGAGTTTAGAGCTTTTATTCTGAAGAAAAAATGGTCACTTACCTTGAAGCCAAACCAGAGCATTCAGCAACACCCAGGGAATCTCAAGCGTAGAAGGTTGAACTACAGATTGGCTTCTAGGCTATGGTTTTGGTTGCTAGACCTAGGACACCAGAGAGGGAGGCAAGGAGGGAAGGATATGGGCTTGTGGAAACTGGTCATTAAGGTTACTGGATATTGTAATTTATGAGGGAATATCTATGCTTGTTACAAAATCAGACTTCAGAAAAGCATGGGCCCCAGAATACTCGTCTCCTCTTGAAACCATATACAGGTATATATACACAGAACAACAGAACAAACCAGTTCTTCACGTAGTTGTTTGGAATTTTCTATAAAAGAGACTGGAAGAGAAACAGATGAGGTTTCCTCCTCCACCCCTGTCCTCATACCAGTACTTCTGACTGTCTGTGCTGGTACTTCTGCGGATAAAGAGTAACGTAGAGTTTGTATGAGGTCTTCAGTGCCCACCTTTTGGAGAACTTGTGTGTAGTAGCGACCTCATTTAATAAATAAAAACAAAGCTTTGCTAACCAGCGTCTGATCAGCCAGTGTTCTTAGGAAGTGATATAACTTGTATTTACAAATATGCAACTGTTTTCTGCTCTCCAGTTTGAAAAATTATTTTCAAGAGATTGCTTCTATTTATAGCCCCCCGAAGAATACTGTAGCAGTCAGCTGCTTGCTTCCCTTACCATTTGCAGTGGTACGGTATACAAATTATAACGTTGTAATTGTAATTCCTGCTTTGAGTACTCTGAAAAATTACAGCCTAATTAAATAATTGTGGCGGTTGTTTCTTTTTTTTTAAAATACATATTTGCAGCTGAGAGTTACAAGGAAACCCAGATGGTAAAGATAAAGGAAGAACCAATGGAAGTTGACATTCATGATTCGCAGGCTTCAGTGTCACCCAGCCAAAATGTTGGCTACAGCACTTTATTAGGGCGAGACATTAATGAACACATACAGAAGGCACCAGAAGGTCGTGTGCTCCCAGAAAGAAATCTATTCAGCCAAGATATATCAGTGAAGATGGCATCCGAGCTGCTCTTCCAGTTATCAGGTAACAGCAGTGGAACTGTTGATTGTTGAATTTAAAGAACAAAAAGAGATCGTGTATAACCACTGAGGTGCTACAAATGTGTGAGATTGTTAAGGCTGAAAAATAATAGGAACAGGAGCCCTTCTACCCTCACATTAGGAACGCAAAAGCCTTGCCAAATGTCCCCCATAGTTAGCATATGCTGTAGAGCACTGTGACGGTCAGGTCAGGTTCACAATATTTGAACTGAATTGGAAAAGCCGGAGTTCAACTCCTGCAATTTTGAAAGCTAATTAAATAATTCGTGGCGCTGGTTGATCCAGGCCTTGGGGAGTATAGGGGAGCCTATAGATGGCAGTTACAGGCATAAATGGCCAGTGGCTGCAGCCACTTTCTGCCCATTTCTCTTGACATAAAAAGTGAAATTACATAAAGGCAATGCTGACAGCATTGTGCTTAACGAAAGCTTGTATTGCGCACTTTGCCAGGAGCACTAGCAGTGAAATATGAACCTGAAAACATTTGTTGGGTGGTAGTTTAAATAAAGTCATGCCCATTCTCTAGTCATGGTGTGACCATTTACCCTAAATTCCTCTGGATTATGCTGTTATCAGAAAGCATTAAAATAAAACTGCTGAATAAAACCTGATAGGGAAGATGTGATGTATGCTAATCACAAAAAAACATGTATGTTCCTTTGCAGAAAAGGTGAGCAAAGAGCACAACCACAATAAAGATAACACCATCAGAACTACAGCCAGGTAAGTAGAGTCCGTTGTTATCTGCAAAGCTGTAGTGTAAATGGCATTGCTTCATTTTGCCTTGGGAACTCCGTGTCTGTCTCCTGCAAAGGTGACCTGATACTACAAGTGTAAGATATTTTCACGAGTAATGTAACCTATATCTGAAAAATGACACCTATAGATCTGATTGCTTAGGGTTGATGAGACAAAAGGCCTTTGGGCCACAGTGACTGTTCTCCTCTGATCAAGTATTCAGACTTCATTTTAAGAATTACTTTTTCCTATTTTTTATCTGCAAAAACTGAAACTTAAAAGAAACTGCGTAGTACATCCAGTGCTTGAGGGAAGAACAGGCTGACAACTGGGTTTTAAGACATGGGCAATGTAAGAAGAGGTGATTTTGATTCAGTCTTCTGTCAAACTTGCACTTTTAAAAAAAAACATTTCAGTTTAGTACTTCTATCCTCTCAATAACTTCCAGAGATGAATTTTTAAAAGTCAGACTGTAAGACAGTGCTATTGAAATATTTGTTAAAGATTACAGTCACATTAAACAATAAATTAAATAATCCAGGAATTTAAAACATGATCCAATTATAGCACATGCTGTTAAGGAAATATGCACTTCACAGTACTGTGGCTGGGAACAAGCCCATGAGCTGTTTACATATACATGAGCAGCAGAGTGAAGTGTTCCTATGGGAGAATTCCAAGCACTTATTATATAAGTGGTAGCTAGAATTGGGGAAAAATGAGGAGCCCTTGGTGAGGAGTAGGCAGGAATTGGCAAGAGTATATTTATGTCTTACCTGAGAGTTCCGTAATCAGCGTGGATGGGCTGCAAACCGAGCACGCTGAAGTGGCAAAGAGTTCCTTCAAAGACAGCGTAAGACCTTCTGTGCCTCTGCAGCCCCTTCTACAGAAGTTCCCCCCGTGTTCAGTGCCTGCTGACTAAGGCAGCTTTGTCCAGACAGAAATTGAAAAGCATTTCAGTGGCAGAAGAAAAGATCTCTAAAACACGTTGTTCTTAATTTCCCAAGCCTATCCCATTCATACATGGTAACTATAATAAATAAATAATTTATTTTTAATAAACTGATCGGCTCAGTACATGTACTTTAGGGACTTTTTGATGTTACAAGTTGAAAGATAATTAAATAGAGTTTTAATTTCTGGCTCCTGTGAATGCTTCCCATATTTGCTAGCTTGGGAGTTTGTGGGATATGCAGCCTGCATAGCCTTCCCATGACTACTTAAAAAGCATAAGCCCAAGAGATACCTATGGAGATAAATGCACATGTTGTCCAACTCCTCATTAACCATCCAGTGTGCATTGCAGGGAGGGGGTGACAAATAGTCAGTTGGAAATAGATTTCCGTGTCTCATGATGTTAGCAGCAGGACTGGTGTGAGAATCCAGCGCTACTTTTGGATCTATCAAAGATAATTCAAACTGGAAAGGTTGAGGACAGTTCAAAGATAACTTTCCTTTCTTCTGGCTGCCAACTCTAAAGAGGGTAGCACAGTTGGCTGTTGTCAAACTTGCCCTGAGTTTTACTGAGAAGTCCCAATAATGGCTGCTACCCATCATGGCACGAAATGCTGAGTGCCTGATTCAGTTCTTCTGGGTGCTTTTCTTATCTTACCTGTCTGTCAGCAGAAGACGACATGAATGAGAAGAGCTTCTTAAGGGGAAGCAAGTCTATCTACTAAATCCTTCAAGTTCAGACAGATTGACTTGAAAGACTTTGAAAAACCCACCCAAAACCAAACAAACAGCTGGAAGTCTGTACTGTTAAGGGTATGATGCTGTCTCAAAATCAGAATGTGATGGAGCAGCCAGGGGAGACACTCAGACTGCATTAAGAAGACACGTTGTGTTGCAGTTTGGCTCACCAAGCTACATCTGGAGTAAGGACAGAAAGGCTTTTGAATCACAGTCATTAGGTGAAGTTTGCCAACAGCTGCGGAAAGCCAAGGTGAGGCCATGTTGTCCACCTGTGAGTAGCTGGGGAGCAGAGGCTGTGTCACTGGTGAGAGGCTTAAATCAGCAAAGCCCGGCAAGATGGGGTACACAATCACTTTTTGTTGTCTTATTCCATATTAACATTTCTTCTAACTGTCGCCTCTCTGTTGCTATTCCTCCTGTGAGTATTCCTGGACTTTGCAAGCATAGACTTCCATATAGTTTTGCTTAAGCAGCTGAAACTGGCAAGGATTCCTCACAGCTCAGTGGCAGAGCGAGATGGTAGAGCCTGCCATCTGCGCTACGAAGACAGAAAGTAGAGAAGCAAAGGATCTGGAAGGGAGTATGCCAGCCTAAGATGCCAAGATAAGTTTCTTTCATCTGGAGAACTGTGAAGCTATAAAATTGGAAAAGTACAGCCAGGAAAAAAAAAAAATCTCAAGCTTAATCTTCATCAGAAGGGACTTTGCACAGTGATTGAGAAGAGTTTATGTAGTTTCTTACTATGAAGCAGGAGCTCCTCCCTCCATACTTTGCACTGGGAATCGGAGGACATATCTGCTGAAGTAAAAATAATAATAGGGCCAACACTGAAGAGATTCAGCTGCCATTCTAGAGGTAGGCAGAAAAGATGTATCCAAGGATGGGTCTGTAATTCACCAGAGCCCGACGGTGGAGGGGGAAATCCTTGGGATGCAACATGATGCAGTCTTCAACAGCGACCTGGTCATGACGCATGGCCTAGCCTGAAATGGATAACCTCTGCATCATCCATTTTCCTTAGGAGCAGGGATGAGCAGTATCCCAGTGACTGACTCTAAGGCACAAGCAGGCAGGCCAGCGTGGAAACCTGAGCAGATTACAAGATTTTGAAGAGCTACAACAGTAATAAAACTTCTTTTATTGGTGCTTCTCTTTCAAATCATTATTAAACCAGCGAGAAGAATGTTGCAATAAACGATGCCATATTTTTGTACAGCGTCAGTCTGGTTTATATTATGTCACCCCTGAGTGGGAATGTGAGCCTTGGAAAAAGTTAAGTTTTGCACATGTGGGCTGGAGCTGTTTTGCTTTATCCTGATCACTTGCTTTCTTGAGCATTATGCATTGTTCACCTATCTGCATGCACTGAACTGTTCTGGTGTGGGGCAGCTTCATGCCTTACCCTTCAGCACAACCTAATGTTGGCTGTGTTTATGGTTACATTCAAACTCTTGTAGAAATACCAAAATATCCCATATCACCTATGGAACAGCACAGAATGAATAATGGCCAAAACAATTGATGAGAAGGTAAATAACGGAATTGCCAGAAGTGTTACGCAATCGAGGTAACTAATGACCAACGAGTTTTCCAAAGGCAGAAGAGATCTGACTACGAATACAGGTGACTCAGCGGAGAACACCTTGTTCAGTCTCTGCAGAAAAACTGTAGGAGAGACAACTTACACAAGTGCCGTTGTTAGATTGACATCTTGGGTATCTCAGCTGGTTGGGGCAACTTGGTTGGTGCAGCTGGCACGTACTTTCTGGGTCTGGCCTACCCGCTGTGCAACGCTTCCTAAGACCTCGCACTACGTTCTTTATCCTGGAAAGGTTACTGGATTACTGATTAAGAACGGGCTGCAGAAATGAGCTGCCCTCCTGTCCTGCACCTTTAAAACACCTGCTATTCACCAGCCTGGGAAGGATTCTCAGTATGAGAGAAAACAAAGACTGTCCTTCTCCGTTTTGAATTTTGTGATGTACCTCTCACTGATGTCTGCTTGTACTGTAGACAGGGAATTCTTGTTTCTGTTATGATCTTTATTTGAGCACAAAACAAAATACTTTGACAGAACTGCCAATTCACTGTTGAAATTGACTTTTTACTGCCTGTTAATTAAAACCAAAGCATGCTATGCTTTTTGCAGTCAAGTAGCTGATACTTTTTGCACTTAATACTCTTTGGGAAGTAACCATTTAGTTAGCTTATATGAATTGTTTCCTGCTTTAAAAATCAGATCCATGGAGTTAATTTCCTTCATGGAATGCTGTGTCAAAAGAGAACTATTCAGCCTCTTAACCTAAAATTTGAAAAGTTTTGTTTTGAAAATAATTACTGTATACCTCAGATTATTAAATAATAATATTTTTCACCTTTCCTGATTGCCCTCTCCAGATAGGAGAGTAGAATACAGATTTTTGAAGCATTAATTTTAATGATCTGTATTGTGATATAGCAAATCTGAGATGCTGAAATGTAGTTAAAAGCCTTTTGGGATGACCAGTTTTCACTCAGATGCAATTTTGCCAAAGCATGCCTCTTCTCCACACTTTGCTTCATAGTCTGCATGTCTTTCAGCGTGAAATCTTCAAATGAAACAGGGCTTTTAACAAGTTGGTATTTGTTTATAATATTAAGGTGTTAGGGTCAAAAATCACATTTACTTCTTTGGTTAACTTCTATTTTGTTTACAAAAAGACATCTTTTTTTTTTTTTTCTTATAGCCCTTTCTTTTCTGAAGACACTTTTAGACAATCACCATTTACTTCCAGCTCAAAAGATCTCCTGCCTAATGAAACTACTCTTCATGGAAGGACGTCTGCACCAGGTCAGATACTCTTTTTTCTTTTGTTACTTCCAGCTAGTATATATGTGTTTAAATTTTTTTACTGTAAATTCCACCTGACCTATGCTCTTAAAATGTGGTTTGCTGTGCCAAAAGGCAACTATCTCTCCATCACATTAAGTGCTTATTATTAAGAAGAAAGAGAAAACAGTTAAATATTGCTGAAGCATTTGTAGTAATAGTCCTTAAACTACTATTTCTGTGAATTTGTACAAGAGTCTATAACAGATTAAACTCAGCAGTATTAGCAGAGGTGGGGGGTTTCTCTGTGTGTGTGTGTCTCCCACACATAAAGGAACTTTACTGATGCATTGCTGTCTGCGGTTCTCCTGTTACTGGCCATTTCGATCTCTCAGGGTACAGGTGAAACGTTTGCAGTACGTGTATCAGAGTGCCTGAGCTTGGCAATACAATTTTTTGCCTTTAACAGTAATTTATAAACCTTTTTGGAAGGATGTGGAATTCTTAAAATGTACTGAAAGGCCTTGGTATCCATGGGTACATTCCCACTGATCTTCTGAACTAGCTGACAGGTGTTTTGTGCCAGGTGTGGCTTGGGTTATAATCTGCATTAAAATGGAAAATATAGGCAATTAACAATAGTATTCAAGGCGGCAATGAACACATGCAAAAACTTGATACGTGCCTTTACTGTCCTGTTGCAAAATAACTCGTTTGCTTGTTCATTGCTATCTGTTCTTAAATTAATAGCTCTTGGGTTCTAAAGGTCAGTAATTACACAGCCAGCTGTAGGGGGGTTATTCACCTTTTCTTAGCAATCAATAAAGTTTTGGGCACGTTACTGCTAATTTTCAGCTATAGACTGTCATTTAATTTACAGCTTAACAGACCCTTCATTTTTTTTAATGCTTGAATAGTCATTTGACAGCTTATGAAGTCGCAGGTGAGGTTAAGAGCTAGATGTTGTCTAAGGGTAGATATGCAGAGCAGGAACAAGATTTGTAGCATAAGGACAAGGGTCTTCAGGCTAGCCTCAGCCATGCTTTTGCAAAGAAGTAGTGAATTTTGTAACTTGGGAACCACATCAGGTGCGGTGCTTTTAAGCATTAAAATGTAAACCAGGTTAGCACTTCAATCCCGGCTTTTGACCTTGGCATGACATGGAATATTCATATACCAGATGAAAGATGAGAACTCTCAGGCTCCTCAGGCAGTGCTTAATACCTCAGAGGACGTGGCCTCTAGCAGCAATACTCTTACATCATACCAAGATGAATGTATAAGAATTTTAATTCTCTGTAAGACTTCATTTGAAGTGAGACCACTGAAACTGTGGATAGGTTTTGGTGACATCTCTAATCTTCTGCTCAAAAGATGTAAACCATCTTGTTGGTTAGGACATCTTGGAGTGTTAGCACGGCTTGTGAGGAACTGGGGTTTGTATATTTATGCTGCCCTATATTCTGCCTTATGGAATAGAAGTGTTACCTTGATAGGTCTGTGTATTATAATACGTATTTCTCTGGGATTATAGGACTCTGGTATGTAATAGCAGCATGTATACTGAAAATCAAAAATGCCAGTTTCTGCTTCATTTTATTTTTGGAACCACCCTATCATTCCAAATATGTTGATTTTTCTCAGCTTCATAATAAATTCTTGGACCCTGAAGTGCAACTTCACAGTAGCACCAGGAATGTGATTTAAATTTTTAATCAATTACAAATGTGATATTCATGTGAAAGAACAGCAGAATACCCACAGGTAGACTTCTTACTAGTTTCAGCCTTGCAAGAAGAAATAGCCTATTTGTGCTATGGATAGCTCAGAAGAAACTTTATCCCTGCAGAGAGTAGCATAAAGGAACAGTATCAAACCATTGTCAAGGCCAGCAGGGTGCAAGAGAAAATGCTGTGTCAATGTGTATGTGATGTCCCATGGAGAAATGGTACCTATGCCTTCGCTCAAGATTTGATTTGGGTTACTTCATCCCTGAAACAGGATAGTAAGAAGTAGGAAAGAAGAGCATAAAAAAATGACAGGAAATTCCCAGTCCAGTGTCGACTTCAAGTCATCAACTGTAATCCAAGCAGATTAACTGCTAAGGGCCAAGAGTGTTCATTAAGCAGTGCACATATCCAAAAATGCAGGGGCAATCCGCTGCGAGCAGTCTGCTGAGCAGCGTGTGGTCTGAGCTGCTGCTCTGTGCTGGCTCCCTGCGACCAGACTTGACTCAGGCAGAGTGGCATGAGGAAGCCTTGGCTGCCAGCTGGTCTGGGTGGCCTTGGAGGAACCCCGCATACACAGTGCTGCTTTGCAAGAGAGCACCAGTATGGGCGGTTGTATCCCCAGACTCCTGCCAACTTTCTGTCTGCAGACTTCTTGGCACCTTAGCTGCAGAGGAATTGGGAAAAGTGACAGAAACATAGGACAGTGAGATCTCTCGTGTCAAATTCAATTCTTTTCTATAAAGGGTAACAGCATTATGTAATCTCATTCATTAGCAAGATCCATTTTAAACCTGTCATCCTTATTATGAGGGCACAGTTTCAGCATATCACCCCTTCGAAGGGCTGGGACCACCCTCTGTTCCACCTGAATTTACACCATCACAGCAAGTTCTACTTTTGTTGTTTCACCGATGCTTGTCCTTCCACTTTGATAATTCTTCTCCCTTGTGATGTTCACCATCTGATGTGCCATCTTCCATCCCCCTAATCCTGTCCTCATTTTGGAAAAGTAAACCAGCCAACATCTTTTAGCCTCTTTCAGTATGATAGGGTTTCCAATTCCTGACTGACTTCATAGCCTTTTTCTGCCTCTGTTAAGGGAAATTAATTTCTGCAAATATGAGTAGTCAGACCTATATATGCTATTTTACAGCAGGTCTTAGCGATGCCTTCTTCAGCGGCATACAATCTTCTGTCTGTATATTGGAAATGCCTCTCCTGATGAATCAGTCTTTGTAACTACAACATGCTGATGGCTCCCAGTTCATTTGCTAAGCAAATAGAAACATGGTTTTCTTCTCACTTATGATTTCAGCATGCAGCAGAAATTCTTGCTCCTACTTTCTAGGCATATGACCTTGTAACTTGAATTGTTTCACTTGTTACTCTAGCTCTCAAGATTATTTCTTTAATACTCTGAAATTTCTGCATATTGATGATATTGCTTTCATCAATGCAGTGCTGGGGGGGGGAGGGGGGAGAGCGTTGTGTTGAAGCTATTAAAGAGGATTTTTAAATATGGTTAGTCTAAAGTTCAGTCCTTAAGACCTCAGCTTAGTGGCCTCCTCAGCACAAACCACTTCTCTTCACAGTTTATAAGAAAATTGCAAGATGAGGTATTTAAGAGGAAGAGCACACTTTGTCGGGCATTGAGTATAGAAGATCCCCAAGGAGTATGAAATAATTAAGAAAGCTGTATTAAAAGATGTGTGAGAACAATGCACTGAACAGGGAATTTACCGGAGGAAAAAATCCCTAAATAAGTAATGACATAGCAATGGATTTGGCCTGAACTAAAGATGAAGTAATCCTGATCAGCAGCAGTATCACAGGCAGGAGAAGTGATTCCCATGCAGCAGCTTTTAAGTCTGGTACCCAAGGACATGGCAGTGAAATCTCCAACAGCTGTCAGAAGGGGACTCAACAGCCTGCAGAAGTTATGGTAGTTCCCTGATAATCTGTGGTGAATTCCTAATACTTTGGGAAGGGAAGAAAGTAGTTTCCTATAGTACATGTATCAAACGTATTGGGTAGATTTGGGGAACTACTTCCCTTCCTTTTTAAGGTATTCTGTATGTTGTTAACCATACAAAGTTAGTTGTAGTTACATTAAACTTTGTTGTATTACTACTGCTGTCCAAATAAGTTCATTTTAACTTAAAAAAAAATGAAATAAAATAGTACTGATGTCCACATCATTCAAACACATTTTGCTCAAAAATTACCATAGTATCAAAGTCACATCTAATACAAAGTCATACCCAAACCATTTGAATAACTTCAGCTTTCCCTGTAAGAATAGCAAAGCTACCTTTTTTTTCTTTTGGCCTAGAAGAATGTAGGGAGAAGAATTGAAAATTTTCCTTTCAAACAGTTGCTCTAAAAGGCCATTTTTATCTTCTGTTTTATAAGACTCTTCTTTTGACAGAATGGAGTTTAGTTTTCTGTCAGACTGTATAGTTCAGTCCAGATCACTAGATATCACTAGATAAATTAAAATTTATTACTAGATAAATTAAAAACTTGATCTTATGTTGGTGTTCCTGACCCTTAGCCAATCTTTAATGTGTTTTAATAGTTTTCCACTATCTCACTGACTCATTCTGTAAATCAAACCTGCCTTCATGAAATCCAGATGAGTGATACTCCCTATTCCTTTTCTAAGCAGTTCATTAATATTGGCAATGACTCCAGCCATGGGGTTTTGGGAGTATTTTTTCTGCATATATATCTGTTTGTAGTGTAATAACATTTCATTATTTTCTCTCCTAATCACCAAGGTCCTGGTATTCTCCTTCATTTACACTGACAGTGCCAAATATTGAAACAACCTCATCTGTAGAGGATTAAGTTACCAAAAAAAAAAAAAAATCTTTTTGTGAAAATTTATGACTTGCAAAACTGTAGTTTTCTTTGTGGTAAGTGAATTTCACATGGCTAAAACACTCTTGGAACTGAAGGATGTAGGTTTTGGCGAGTTGCATGTAGTCCATGAATAGCCCTGGCTTTTTAAATTTTGTCCATTGGTGCCAGGGCTAAATTTACCAGTGTTATTTATTTCAGTGAAATAAAGCCAATAAAGCTTCTGTCCTTGAGTACCTTTTTGGAAATACGTCAGAGCTGCTTCTGTCGCTGGGTCTCCACACTCTTTACTGACCCGTAAGATGACAGATAGGCCATGCTTCCTCTTGCAAAATGTTGAGAACCCAATGTTGAATCAGTAGCACAATACTTAGTTCAGCAGAACATTTGAAACATAGTTAAAAAATTGTGGATTTTGGTACTGTCAGT